GCTTGTACAGCATGATGACATTTAGCTTCATTTAAGAGACCCAGAGTCCAGTAAACTGATGGAAGTGGCTGTCTTAATACTGCAATGTAGACATTGCAATTTCTCAAAAACTGCAAGGTATTACATTGCAGTACTAAGGGGGACAGGGACACTGCACCCAGACTACTTCAATGAGCCAATATTTTCTGGGTGCCTATAGTGTCCCTTTAACCCCTTAGTGACCAGACCGCTTTCAATTTTCTTACCGTTTGGGACCAGGGCTGTTTTTACATTTCTGCAGTGTTTCTATTGAACTGTAATTTTCACCTTACTCATTTACTCTACCCCCACATATTATATATTGTTTTTCCCGCCATTAAATGGTCTTTCTAAAGATACCACTATTTTCATCATCTCATAAAATTTACCAGAAAACATTTTATAAAATACGAAGAAATACTGTAAAAAAATACACTTTTTATAACTTTGACCCCCAAAATCTGTTACGCATCTACAACTGCCAAAAAACACCTAATTTCTAAATGCTGTCCTGAGTTTAGAAATACCCAATGTTAACATGTTCTTATCTTTTATTGGAAAGTTATAGAGCTATAAGTACAAGTAGCACTTTGCTATTTCCAAACCATTTTTTTTACATTGTATCTGTCAGGAATCCCTGAATAACCATTCACATGTATTTATTTTTTTAAAAGAAGACAACCTAAGGGATTAAACTTAGGATATTTTGACTCTTTTCATGCAACCATTTTACCAACAATCTATGCCAAATTTAAAATAAATAATAATTAGTGATTTATTTTGACACACATAGCAATTTAAAAATATATGTACTGGGAACTTTAAGGGTTACTGCCAAAGAATGCCAATATGTGTTCAGCAACATCTCCTGAGTATAGTGATACCACCTATGTATAGGTGTGTCAGGATCTCTGGGGGCTAAAATACCTTATTTGGAGGGTGCGCATTCCATTTTTCCAACTTGGAATTTTCACAGCTGGTCATCATGCACCCATGTCCTATTTGGGACATTTTAAGCCAGCCAATGTAATTTACCCCCACCAAACCATATATATTTTAAAAGTAGGCAACCCAGGGTATTTAATATGGGGTATGTCCAGTCTTTTTATATATTGTCTATTTTGGGGTCCTTTTTTTGCAAAGGGGGACTGTCTGGCCTGTCAGACAGTGCCCCCAGTGAAGAAGAACTCTGATTGCCGGTGGGGGAATACCGGTGACCGGGTCAGTACATGGGAATGGAGGGAGAGGGGAGGGAGGGAAAGGGTTAATTTTTAAATTTAATTTTTATTTTTTTTTATTTTATCTACACTGAGTGCCTGGACCCCTTGAGTCACTCAGCACTCAGGCAGAGAATCGGAAGCCTGCCTGATGGCTTCCGATGCCCTGCCTCACTGCCGGACACCCACTCGGTGGCCCAGCAGTGAGTAGGGGGGTATTGCAGGATGCCTTGACATTGAGGCATCCCTGCAATACCCTTAAAGCAGCTTGAAGCGATCATGATCGCTTTCAGCGCTCTAATTCGTCGCAGACGTACAGGGTACGTCAACAGTCGTTTATGACTGTTTTTTGTCTGACATACCCTGATGTACCCTGTACCCTGTACATCCGCAGTCATTATGGAGTTAAGATATAAAAATGTTGTTGACAGTGTTTGCAAAAGCTCTTTGCTTTTATCTCTGATAAAAGAATAAAATATATGCAGCACATATGCAAAATATTGATATTTGAATTGTTTATAGAGTTCTGTATGTGCAATTCTAATAAGCAGGTGATGAAAACCACAAACAGCATATAATTTAACTTATATATCATATCACTACAATGTAACTTCATCTGTGAAGTGGACTTTATTAATGCTCTGATTTGTAATGATTTTAGATGACAAAATCCTTGTAAGGACGCAGCAATACCTAGAATTTAAAAAAAGTTGAATTTACTAGAAATTCTTGGGCTAAGCAGTAATCTACGGTCAGATTAAAACTCATATCGGCTAGTTTTTTTTTACAAAACCGATGGAACTGTTATGAAAGTCTTAACAAATATGGTTTAAAAACACTAATGGGAATCATGAATTGTAGAACTAGGAAAAAAGGTAATTTCTTTTATATATGTATTATTTAGTATTTCCTTTACTGGTAACTTACAATACTTCAGCAGCACATTAGTTTTAAATATTAATATTCCTTAGGGTGCTCATTTCTTTCTTTCTCAGTATCCTTTTTTTTTGCCAGAAAATATGCACTGTAAATCGAGAAAAAAATCCCAATTACATTATCATATTACAGGAAGTGTGTTTCAGCAAAATCTCTTTAAATCTGTACTTTCAGTAATAAGGTAACCGCGAGAAATTATATAGATACAATATAGGCTTGTATACTAAATAAGGTAAACTACCTCAAAAGAAAAATGTATAGGTATTCATGTGGATTTATAATACCTATATAATTATGGGAAAATTATTTCACCAAATGTACTTACACTGGATTCGGACATGATACTTTTATTGACACATTGATGGCTAAATTCAATTTACATGGACCCTAATTTTCAAAACCCGAGATTTGCCTGAGATGTTATTGTATAACTGAGGAAGAGTATTATAAATATTATAGAGGCAATATGAACTATTTCTCATGTAATTATATTATTATCAGAGAGGATGTAAGACAAATGTTAAGCTTTATCACACACATCATATGACAATGCTTTCCGTTTGCCATTAAAGAAACTCTGTAGCATTGGTAATACATACATGTCCTGATGTCCCTAATCCAATGTGTTGGATACTGTTCCACACAATATGTTAGTGTTCAAACTAAAAGAAATGGAAACTACTTGTTCATGGGTAGAACATTGATATAAAGTAGAAAATCAGGTTATCAGTATTGGTACATTTTATAGCTGGAAAAAAGTCACAAGTGATGACTTTCAATAGTTTGTTCTAGAACCACTTCTAATCAACGTACTTATAAATTATCTTAAATAACCATTGCTAGTCATGTGTCAGTATTTGCAAATGACACAAACATAGATAATACCAGGTGAGCACCATATTACTTCACTGCAGAGGAATTTAGATAGATTAAGGGACTGGTCACTCAAATGGCAGATATAATGTAATGTAGATAAATGCAAAGTGGCAAAGATGAACTTTGTGGTGAAGAATGCAAAAGCAACTTACACCTTAAATGGTAGTAAATTATGAATAACAAAACATGAGGATTTGGAAACAAATTATGCAACAACGTGCACCTATTCTAAGGAAGGATATTATGGCACTAGAAAATCTGTATGTGTGGGTTAGATAATTAATAAGAGGAATGGAAGATTTTTAGTTATGAAGAAAGGCTAACAAATTTAAATCTGTTTAGTTATGATAGCATTATACAGGTATATTTTGGGCCAATACAAACCATTGTCTGGAAATCTATTCTCATCAGAACTATGTATGAGGTAACTTATTTAGACTGGAAGAATGGAGATTAAATCTAAGGCAAAGGAAAGTTTTTTTTTACAGTAAGAATAATATGTAATTCTCTGCCTGAAGATGTGGTTTTATCAGAGCCTGTACAGATGCTTAAGCAGAATTCTTGAGAATTTTTGCAAAAACACAATATTCAGGGATATATTTTTATATAAACAGTGTGGTTAGGTCAATGCATTGAGGTGCGGCTCAGTGGTAAAAGGCAGTGAGGTATATGCATTTGGACCACAAAAGGTTTTTAAACAAGGTAGTCTAACTGAACATGTGTATGCGGTTTGATAGTAGATATAGTGCAACTAGTCAGGTACAATGACTTGTATAGAGACCTGGTAGATCCACACATTTCTTAGTGACTGTATGATGCAGGTGGTCAATGTTAACTGGGCGTGTGTAGGTGAGATAGTAGAATTAGGTACCACTGGAATATAGGTCCGCCTAATGTGGCTGCCTCTAGCTATGCATGGTGACAAACGTGTGTGGTATAACCAGCTAAAAATCACAAGTTAAAAAGTCAAGTTAAGCAAGTTTAGGTCTACATACTGAAATCGTGGCCTACTGCCCCTAGGTTAGATGTCCAGGGAGCTTACGTATGACAGCTAAGGGCCGCTGGCATCTTAATATCGTAGTGAAGTAAGTGGTGCATGCACCTATGGCATGGGGAAAAAGGCTGACACCCACAACTCTTAGGTATCTTGTGATGCATGGTTATGGGACATGAGTGGGAGGGGGAGGAATACACAAATGGGAAGTCTATTCCCCGGTGCCAGCAGGAGGAGGTAGGGCGAGACTCGGCCAGATGGGTGTACCTCTATGTACCCTGTCATGGAGATGTCAAGACAAAACAACTAAACACATTATAAACGTTTAAATCAATAAGGCAGAAGAGGTTGCAAACGGTGCTATAGGTAAACTTGGTAGAATGGCGTTGTTCACGATATCTCCTGCGGAGCAGGATACTTCCTGTGTGCCACAAGTATGAATGGGGGAACTCTTGATAAGTCCCAGGTGGCGGGCTGTGATGAGCGCCCCGGAGAATGAGTTGCCGCTGCTTTGGTTTTTAGTCCAAGTTTTTAGAGTGTGCTGGCATTCTCTGTGGCTTCCGTGACTTTTATGGTTCCTCATTCCCCGGGTATTAAGAGGCTCCTCAGGAAACCCCACCTGTATGGAATTTTGTGTTTAGCAAGTTCCATGGTTAGACAGCATATAGACCACTGCCAGTCCATAGTTGCCCGGGACAGGTCAGGACAGAAAGATAGAGTGTGCTCCTCGAAATGGTACAGGGATTTGTTGCGTACTGCAGACATAAATGCCTGTCTGTCTGTTCCGTGTTGGAATTGGATAATGACGTCTCTGCTGATGTTCAGTGCGCCCGTCTGTGGTGCCGGTAGTCGTTAGCAACCATCCAGGTTTGGCTGAGAAGAGGCTAGCAAGGAGTCTCCTCACTACATGGGGGATTTCAGCCACCATAATACTGTCGGCAAAGCCTCTCATTTTTACATCATCTGCGGTCCTCCATGGCCGCCATGCGGTTCAGTATTTGAGCCTGTTCATTTTTGAGTCGTGTCAGTTCACTTTCTATTCTAGTAAGTCGGGTCTCGTGCACAGCTGTGACAAGCTCTGTATCATGGAGGCGCACGGATACCCTGTTGATCTCCTCCTTAAATGTGTTGATGTCTGCGGCAAAGTTTTGGCAGAGGTCTCCTAGGAGGGTTTTCAGAGTTTCTTCTGTAACAGGCTGCCCAGCAGTCTTCATAGGAGTCACAGCGGCATTATGTTTGATAGCTGGCAACTCCAGCTCTCCGATATCTGCAAAGGACGCTTCACTGGAGGACCAGGAAGGTCCATCTGAGAGTGGCGCCATTTCTTGCCTCGTGGCTAACTGCCACTTCCAGAGTAAGTCGTCTATATCAGCGGTCGTCGGGGGCTTATCCACCCACCCTGCATTTCTTACTTTTGCTTCCCATGACTTGGAGACCAATTCTCTCACAACAGGGCACTTTTAGCTTCTAATGGTTTTTGTGCTGGTCGGCTCGGAGCTCCCCTGAAACACGTCCGGAGAGTATGGCTGCTGGCTCCGCCCCCCAGAGATATAATTTTTAATATGTGGGGTAACAGTTTCTTGAGCAAAAGACAGATCTGAGGCTGAGAAGGATTTTTATGAAGCAAAATTGAAAAGCACTTTAATTTTTTTGTGTGTGCTTTCTTTGGGATCAACAGCAAAAACAGATGTGAGAATGGCTGGATTTGACTGACGCAAGTCTTTTATCGCCTATATAACTAGGTATCTTCGCTAATTGCTAATTGATCTCACCTCACCAGCTTTACAAATACAGAGGAGAGTTACAGCTTGGTGAAATTGGGACTACCCCTTCTTTCCATCACATGGGAACCACTTGTCTAATATTGTGTATATATCCCCCTCGGGCTGGCTAAACGGCTGTGATGCATCAAGGCATTGACTCCACCAGACCTCTGAAAATGTCATGTCATGTGTGTGTCTAAGACATTAGCAGCAGATCCTTTAAGTCCTACAAGTTTCAAGTTGCAAGATGCTCAATTAGATTGAAATTTGGGGAATTTGAAGGCCAAGGCAACACGTTTAACTGTTTGTCATGTTAAACCATTCCTGAACATATTTTTGCAGTTTGGCAGGGTGTGTATGTGGTCTGCAGCAATCTCTAGGTAGGTGGTATGTGTTAAAGTAACATCCACATGAATGCCAGGACCCAAGGTTTCCCACCAGAACATTTCCCAGAGGATAACACTGCCTCCATCAGCCTTCTTAGTAGTGCATCCTGCTGCCATCTCTTCTCTAGGTAAACGATGCCCACACACCCATCCATCCACCTGATCTAAAAGAAAATGTGATTTATCAAACTAGGCAAAGTCCTTTCATTGTTCCATGGTCCAATTAAGATGCTTACATCCCCATTGAAGTTGCTTTCAGTGGTGGACAGAAGTCATCATGGGTTCTCTGATTGGTCTGAAGCTACACAGCAAACTGTGATGCACTGTGTGTTCTGACACCTTTCTATTGTTCAATTATATTAGCAATTTAAGTTACAGTAGCTCTTCTGTGTGATTGTTGCAGATGGGCTAGTCTTCGCTTTTCATGTGCATCAATGAGCCTTGGGCACCCATGATACTGAATCCAGTTCACGAGTTGTACTTCCTTGCACCACTTTTGGTAGATACTAAACACTGCATAAACACACCACAAGGCTTGCAATTGTGAGGATTCTCTGACCCAGTTGTCATCACTCAGATCTTTTCACTTACCCATTTTTCCTGCTTCCAACACATGAAATTCAAGAACTGTTTATTTGCTGCCTAATATATCCCACCTCTTGACAGGTTCCATGGTAGCTATATGGTCAATGTTATTCACTTCACCTGTCAGTGGTTTTAATGTTGTGGCTGATCATTGTAGTTTAGAATATGCAAGCAACTTTGATTTTTTTGATATGTAAATAGAAATTTCTATATTTGCCCATTTTTATGTGGTTTTAATGTTATGGCTGATCGGTGTAAAAGAACATTACATTTCATCTATACACTGTGCTAGCAAAAATGTGGAGAGCAAGAGAACCATTCTCCAGGTGGCCTCTAACTCCCTGTTACCTGGAACTCCCCCAGCAGGCAAAACCGATGTTTACTGGGAGAGTATGGGACATACTGACTCTGATGTGCTGGAAAGTCAGATTCAGCATGAAGGGTCGGAAAGTATCCCCAATCATTGTTATCACAGCCGCGAGAGGGTGACCATGAAGGGAGCATGCTACAGCACTGTTACACCTGTGAACCTTTGAGAATGACCATGCTGGAGTGAGGGGTTGCAGGGTAAGTAACATTATAATGGCTTCTAGATCAACTAAATATATAATTTATCTTTATGATAAATTAGAGATTTAGTGCCTGGGGAGCTATTTTAGTAACATTTGAACCTGAATTTTAAGGTTCTGTTTAATCAAAGCTAATAAACTACATTAAGTAAACTTAATTAATTAACACAATTAATAACACAATAAACATATATGCTCAAAAAGCCCAAATTGAACAATACAGATGTAGCAGAGGTCCCTTTACCCCGGCTGGGTACCTTCGCCAAGGGTCACTTCCTGGCTGGGACCAGAGATAACTGCCACTCTTCTGCCCCAGTCACCATGGCTTGAACTCTCAGTCCTGGAACAGGATAGGGAACTAGCTCTATTCCCTCACAGAGACTAGACAGCACACAGTCCTGGGAGCTCTAGTCCTTACAAGGACTTTCCCGACCAAATCCTCCACCAGCTGGAACAAGGTGCTGAGCAGTGATTAAAGCCCTTTCCCCCCAGCAACTAGATGACACACAGTTCTGGGAGTACAACTCTGCCTTTTATGCACAGACCCCAGCAGGGAGTCTCCACTGTATTCAGAACAAGCCCCTCCCAGGAATCTCTGGGCCTGGGAGATAATTGTTTTAAAGTCAGGTAAGCTAATTATCTCCCAGGAACAGAGATGCAACACAAAAACATAAAAACAACCCAAAACTTCATAAAAACATAAAATTACCCCACAAATAATACATCTTTAAATAGCCCTGATCTGAGCACCCAAGTTCTACAAATAGCGCCTAGATTGATGCAGTGTAGGGGAAATGCAACCATGTTAAACTTCTGACTCGCCGCTCACGTGGTCCTATGCCCAAAATAGTTCCAGGGTGTTTGGTGCTTTTTCAGGTCAACTTTCGGGAGGTCCTGTAGTTGCAATACGGGGTGCTCCATCTGGCTCTTAGGTAACATTTGTTCCCCTTAGTCTCAGGCACCTTCCCTCCAAAAAACGCTCTCCTAGCAGATTTCAAAGTGCTTCAAAACCGCAAACCATGTTGTCCGGGAACCACACAGTCACCTCATGCTGAAAACAGTTCCTTAACATTCGTGACGAAGTCCCGCTGAGGTGACCGGGAACCCATGGAGCCCTCATGCCGAAATTAGTTCCATAGCGGTCAAGGCTAAGTACCACTGAGGACTATTCGTGGGTTTGGTTCATGCGGACGGCCACCAGAGAGCTAGCGTTTGGTTCCATTCACATTAAGGGAAAGTGTCGAACCAGGGCCACCCAGGGAAAGCTTCTAATGGCGGCTGGGCAGGGTAACTCCCAAACGGTGTCCCAGACCTGGACCATAGTTGGTGGGCAGGAGGCCAGCTTCCACGCTCCTCCAGGAGTCCGTGGCAAACATACATGGGAAGGAGCATTTGTCACAGCAGATATCAATGTCAATTTAGAAAACAACAGCTTAATGCTTTATGCACAGAAGGAGAGGAGCTGTAGTTGGAGTAGAGGTAAGTAACCAAGTTTAGAGGGGCCCTAAATCTAAACTTAAAAATGAACCATCTAATGTTAGACAAAAAGTGTTTCTAATGTTATAGAGGACCATTAAGAATTCTGTAAACCTTAATTTGGTCACTTAATTTAGTATTCTCTCTATAGCTTTATTCTCCGAAGGAATATAGAGCATTAAAAGTTACTTGCACAGACAGACTAAACACAGCAACAATTTGCAACTTAGAGAAAAAGAGAAGAGCAGAATCAAACTATACTCTTCCATTAACATTCCTGGCATGAGTGAGTTATAGACAGAAAAAATATAAAAATTGTCTGATAATTCTGTTGTGGAGTACTGGAAAAAGACCGTAAACTAATAGCCAGACAGGTAATCCTCTGTATTTTAATGTTTAATATAATCCTATGTACTGGACTTCCTAAAGTTAGTAGGTGCAGAAAACAGCAATTCAATGCCATCAATATAATTCATATGTATGCAGGTAGGTGTGTTTATTTTTTTTCATTCAAGCGGTTTTATAAATTTTTTCAATAATAGGAATGTTACAATACGTTATTCAGAACATGGTGTATGTAGTCCCATAAGGCGCAATTCAGACATGTTCACAGACAGTAAGGAATTGTCAATGATAGGTGCTTACAGTTAAGTACATTGGGAAAAGATAATCGTAATATATAACTAACATTCTACATGGTATTCTTACAGATGAGGCATATGCTGTATCTAAGATGGTGGGTATAATGAGAAAGCAAATTATTTGTGTGCAGCGACGCTTCTCAGGTTTCTGCAATAATATTAAGGGCAGGTATCAATTACCATAATTCTTGAGCTAAGCCTAAATACGCCTAAGTATTAGTTATAAAGGCCCTGTGTGTCTGGTTTAATAAAGTAATGTTAAGGCTTATACAATTTGATGGTACCAGTAAGCTAAGTTAGTAAGTGATAGCATATTTTGATTAACCTTCATAATAAAGCATTTTTGCTAGAATCTTATGTCTGCATTTTCGATGTGAAAAAATAAAAAGTAAACCAAGTAAACTAAACTTAAATAAAAAATTAAAAATATATCACTGGCAGCCTCTGGGAGTGTATGCCAGTGGTGTATGAGTATCTAGGTGAGAGGTTGCTATGCAAGAAAAAAAAAAATGGTAAGCCTCCCAGGGAGGCAGCTGCATATCACAGGAAGTGCTGATAATAATAACACACTATGGGCAGAGTTAGCAGTCTGGTTCCGGTTGCTGCATATGTTACTAAGGAAACATTTCATAAACCATAAACTTAAGACGTAGCCTAAATATCTGCGTCTAAACAGCATAGTAAAACATCATGTATTTCAGATTAACCATTTATGCCATAATTGTTTAAGCTGTGAGAAGACTGTGTTCCCTCACATTTTACGTTGCAATTTACTGCAATACTGTGTTAAGTTATCTGATCAATGATGGCATAAATTAGGGTGACATTCTAAATAAACATATTATTATAACTCCTTTTCCTGCATATATTTCTAAAAAACTAATAACATGAGTCAGCCCCAGAAAGCATAGCCTAAGGATATTATGAAAGATATTAATGTAAAAAACAAGTAAATAAGTAGAAAATAAATATCCTTACTGACTCTTTGTGGAGTCAGTAAGGGGGTATAGGAATTACGTGTAGGCCCTCGCGTGTGTTTCGGAGTGAATTCATCTCTGGGCTCCCTTGAGTCTGGTCGGTGCACATATCTCCAGGCGTTCTGTCACTCCAAAATAAAAACGGGAAAGGGTATATAAGTCAAAGGCTATAATCATGGGTATCATGTCCTTCCCTCCGTGCATGCATCCTGTCCCATGTACAGCGGGGCAGTGAGTGAGGTGCACCAAGGCAGGGGGCTCACCATAGGTACCTCCGCGGGCGGCACCGGGGCCATCAGCCATCTGCCAGTAGTTCTCCAGGCCATGCCAGGCCTTCTGCCGAGCGTTCCACAGCCCAGCGGGCACTCAGATATTCACCGGCGCACCAGACCCCCCCTCCAAAGTCCATGCACCAGTCGTCTTCTGCACCCCCAGTGTGCTCCAGAATCTCCAGCCGGGTAAGATGAGGGCCGTCGGTTGTCTCTCCCATCTCCGGCCGCTCAGGGTCGGTATTGGCCATTTTCACAGCCACTGGTCCACCGGAGGCCCCTCCGTTCCTCAGGTGTCAGTGCAGCACGTAGGCTTTGCAGAGTGTTCGTTTCATGCTTAGTGAGGCAGGTAGGATCATGGTATATGCAGGGCCATCAATGTGAATTTTTTTTATTTATTTTTTTTTAAATTAAACTTGTTAAACTTGATAACAGCAAACAGTAGGCCGCCATAACCCCCACCAGCCTGAGGGGGGGAGCGGGGCTGTGGCTCCTGCCGTCTCAAATTAGCTACTGCTTATCATCCTCGTTATAATTCAGCAGTCTGGGTGTCTCTGATGGATCATACAGGCTCTTTCCATATTCCCCAGCCAGAACAGGGTCTGTCATTGTTAGTGCAGGATGTAGGCCCGAGGCTCCAGTAAAGCCTTTTCCCAGGTGAGATCAGTATCAGGCATGCATACTCCTCTGATTGTTTCTGTCATGTCAGCCGGTAACGTATTAGTAATTTGCTCGATTTTGAGCGTTTTTTCAGGTTTTAGGACAGGAGCTCCCAGAATCTGCTGCTGACCAGCTCCCAGGTCCGGCCCCGCCACCCGTGTGTTTATCTTTAATACTAGAACATTCAGTTTTTATTTTAAATGATTTGCCAGTGGCTAATACACTTATAGCATAGTTAAAAAATGCTTTTCTATAACACTGTAACCAGTTTCACAATTTTTCAACATGTTACCAGAAGCAGAATATACTAACAAGAAACAGGAAACACATCATTTGAGTGGTTGATAGCAATTATAGTGCACAGAATGTTTTGCATTTTTAATGCACAATTCCCAAGGGCATTCAGAACATCTTGAAATAAAAAAACTATGAAATATTTAAGACATACATTTGTAAAATAGAATTGACAAGTAATTTTTACCAAACACCAGCAATAAAATTAAAATGTACCTTTGAAAGATAAAACTTTTATAAAATGAATCTGTGATATCTTTCAGTTCAAGACTGCTTATATTACCGAAAATAAAATTTTCATTTATCAGCATTGCTGTCAGAAAGTACGTGTAGATATTGTCACTTGTAATAAGTGTACAAGGACTCAAACTTTTAGGTTTCATTGCAAAGGGTGTCACTGCCCTCTTTCTGCTCTGAAGATATTTCTACATTTCTCTAATAACATAGACTCAAGGTCATCCCTGATCACGCATTAGTAGCATACACAGAGCTAATTATATTACAGGTGGTCCTCGTTTTGTGATGTTTTGTGAAGTTTTACGATGGCTCGCACTTACGACCACCTCTTCCGCGCGGTGGTAAGTGCAAGCCGTCGTGAGAATTAGAGGGATTCCCTGATCTGCTGCGTTCGTCTATGTTTGGAGAAATGTCCCTGAACACAGTCATGCGCACTAGAGCAGAGAATACCTCTAATCTATGTTTATGGAAATTTGCCTGAACATAGATTAGAAGGATTCCCTGCTCTGTTGCGTTGGTCTATGTTCGGGGAAATTTCCCCGAACCTAGACAAGCGCACCAGAGCAGGGAATCCCTTAACTCCTCACTTACCGACCAATTTGTTCTACAACCGGGTCATAGGAACGAAACACGGTCGATAAGTGAGGAGTACCTGTATACAAAGACACTGAAGTGCTATTTTGATTTCAGATTATCACTTCAGATAACACCAAAAAGAAGATTGATGATATGGATTATATGTAAATCATTTACATAACTGTTTTTCCATTGTATTATTTTATTCTTTGTACTTTTTTTAGTTATTTGTCCTTTTTATCCCTATGCTCCCTTTTTCTCACCCTCCTACCCTGCTTAATTGAAGTGGTCTGCAATAATGACCTTTGAGGGTCAACTCCACCTCTAATGGCTGTCAACCAGATAGCCACTAGAGGTACCTCCAGGTGGTTAGGCGATTTTTGGTCGTCTTACAGATGCTGGACGTCCTCACGCTATGCATGTCATGTAAAACCCCATAGGAAAATTTGTCAAATTTTCTTAATTTTTCTTATTCTTACTCTTAGTTTACAAAGCCTGAATGTATAGAGATATTGTAATGCTCACTGCAAACACCATATGTACAAATTGTTATTGCTGGTTGTCACATGTAATCATCAGCGAACCAATTTGTCGATTAGGATTCTTCCATGAGGCGTTTGGTTCGGTATGTGCTTGCAATCATTTTGGGGAAATTATTCGGATGAACCAAAATGAAGAGAAAATTGGCCAATTAGCAAACTGTAAAATATATGCAGTATATAAGTATCCTGATCCTGAAGAAAGTCTTGGTTGGGGACTGAATTGTTTATATTACGCATATATTTTTTGTGCCTTAAAAGGCGCCTTTTCCTGCCAAATATAGGGGGAAAAAAGGAGAAAGGTGAAAAATATTTAAAATTATATATTTATATATTTACAAAAATGTTTAATTTTCAGCAAATTTAGAGGCATTATATCCATTACAAGTGGCTTCATTTATTCTTCTACAGGGAAATAATCATAAGTAGAACATAAATGAGATTGAGTGAGGCTTTATAGACAATATTTTATTCTGCAAAGTACAAGAAAATAAAAATGTTTATACTCAATATAGGTAATGAAGTGGTTACCATTCATACATATGAAGTATATTCAACTTTGTTGGTAGACATTGGAATTATATAATTGCAGGCCTGTTATTGAGCTACTTTTTTAATTTTTGTAACAATAAATTTCAATTAAAATATTTTTGCAATCTTTATTCTGCAATTCCAGGCATGTTCATTAGAAAACAATTATATCCAACAAAACAGTGATTGCTAAATAATAAGCAATATGAGTCAGAATGAGAATAATACAAGTGAAACAATGAACATTAGCTCAAAGTTTAGAATTTCTTGGAGTATATTTATAGAACGCTCATGAATTGGAAACCAAGCCAGAGAGAAAAAAGTGGATACTGAAGTGCATTTCAGAAATATGATTCTAAGAATTATAATATATAGCACTTCTTTTGGATTAGCAACTCATATGAGAATATGGCAGATTTTAATTCTTGATTTCTTATTTATTTTTGTGGCTGTTTTAAATACTTACATAATAAAACAAGCAACCTAAAAATTGTTCCATGCCATAGCAATTGAAAAAGGAAACCTGACGGTTGCTCTTTCCATTCCTGCATCCCCCAAATACAATCTACCACCATTATCCATAATATAGAAAAACAGGAGACATCTTGGACTACCAGACAGGGCAATTTAAGTCTTGTGGCCATTTTATCATGAATTGCTAAACGTTGTGGTAATAGTTATTTTCCTGTATTTAACATGTGCAAAAACCACTTTGTAGTATATTTCATAAATCTAGTATGTTGTACAGATTTGGGAGCAGATTTTGTTAGACTATACAAGCCTATGTCATTTAAATGAATATTCTTTTTTAAGTCTATTGAAGATTTGATGATCAATTATCTCATCTAACAGAATCTGGTACTTAGTGTGTATCACCAAGTCTCATGTGTTCCATAGTCTGTACAGTATGTGGGAAGTCTCACAGGATTAATCACTAAATACTGGATTTTGTATAGATGGAGAAAACGAGGTGAAAATGACTAAATTCTGAATGCAATGGCAATTTTCATATTTACTAAAGCCAAACATGGTCAGAATTTGGTCGGCACGAGTGAATTTCCCTCAATTTCCCAGATGTATTCAGTGTCTGCTTTAAAATCAAGTGCGTCTGAATCTGAATAATTCTATAAAAAGTATAGAATTCAGAATATTCAAAAAGTGCCAGTTTTACTAAAATCCAGAAATAAATACATCTGGTAAAATGCACATTCTCAAATTATCTTTCACATACCGTTTTGAATCTTAACCCCTTCATCCCTGCACTTATGTATACATGATTGCCAGAGTATGTATTCATACCCTGCAATTGTGTATACACAATTTTGCATTATTGCAAATTAAATTATTTTATTAAAGTTCCTGAAGTTCACAGTGCAGTAGAGCTGCCAAACTCTGAACTTCAGAGAAATGAATACTGGCCTCCCTCCCCCCCACACAGTTACCCTGCCACATAACCCACCCACACACAGTTACCATATCACAGTCAGTCACAATGTCACAATTATCCCACACACTAATTTCTCACACAGAGTCACCATGTCACAACATCCCCCACACTAACCTCCCACACACTGTCAATTCCCACTCTTACCCCTCACACACAGCCACATTGCTAAAGTCACCTTGTCACACTCACTCTGTGACAGTCACCCTATCACACTCACTCTTTCACAACCACTCTGCCATAGTCACCCTCATAAAAATACAGGAACCCTTAGGCATAGACACCACCTGACAGAAAGTAACCCTCATATTCACAAAATCACCCTTCACACACACAACACGTCCCCACTGTAAACACAATGCACATAGCAGTGTGTTTCTCTGCACATCAGTGTATATGTGCGTGTATGAAGTGTATGCAATTGTAATCAAAATTATTCATCGTCAGTGGTGGTGTATGTCTTGGAATGCTATGAAACCTTCTACATTTAGTATACGCCTTAGAGTGCTCACTGCCTGTTGCCATCAAGTCTTCCTGTAGGTCTTATGCAGTCACTTGTGGATTTTTCACAGCCTGCCTTCTCATAAATCTGGTTGCAGTCATTTGATAGCTTCCTTTTTCTGTCCTGTCTAGGTAGTGTAACCACTGTTCCTTCAACTTTGAACTTGCGAAACTATGCTTCCAACAGTGTCTCTAGGAACATTCATTGCATTTTCTATCTTATTGTATCATGTTCTTTATTTGTGAAGGGCGATGATTTATTTTCTTAACTTTGTGAACCATTCTTTTGACCATATTTCTACCATGCAGTCAAAGGTGACACTTAAAAAACCCCTAGCCAGTTCAGGTATTTCAAATGTTTCAGCTCAAGCACACCAGTTGCAACCAACAAAGCCCTTGACTTGTTGCATGAGGTGAGCTTGAGACAACACCTGTTTTGCATATCTGTGCTGTTGTGAGGGAGTCTACT